GTCCTATTAGTGTGCTCTCCTGTTTTCACTGTCAGCCGGCTGACTCGGCTAACCCATAACTTGTGTAATGGTCGTGATGTGACAGTGATGCGTGTGATGCGCATATTGAAATTGTAAATCGCGATGTGAATCTCTTTTGATGTGATAGTGCTATGGATGGGTAAAACTATAGAAGCAGTAAAATTAGGAACACCGATAAATATTGCTAGCAAATTATATAAGGTTCCACGATCATCTCTTCATAGCAAGATTGTAAAAAAATATATTTATGAAAAGACTGGACCAGGTATCGTATTAACTTCGGAAGAAGAAAATATAATCTTGTGCAATGGATTCTCCATATGTATTCTCTTGGCTGTCCAGCTAATCACTTGCTTGCAGATTTTGTTATTATTAACCATCAATCTGATGTAAATTTACAGTCGTGGACAATGAGATTGTCAACACATTTTTCAGTGAATTTACGAATGCGTAAACTCACAAACATGTTATATATAATTAAAATAACATTGTTCTAAATGTTAATACTAACATCAAATTATATCATTTATTTAATATTAATTATTATTTGAGAAAAATTATTAGAATGTTATAAACCAAGCGTTCATAAAATTCTTTAAAAATAAAGTTGCAATCTCATTGTCCGCGAGTGCATGTAGTGAAATGAATTAAAGAACAGACTCATTAATCGCGGACACACTAATAAAGGGCACACAAATATACGGATAGGCACAGTAATAGGAGGGCCCTTAATATGGCCATCGCGCCGTGAAGGGGCACACTAATAGGGACAAAAACATTGTTTTTATTTTTATTAAAATATATTAAAATATTAATATTTTTTACAGAAAAAAAATTTCATTAAAAAAAGAAATATTTGAAAAATCGATAGTAACTTTAAACAGACAAATTGAAAGCTATAGTATTTAGTAATTAATTCAGTAATAAACAAATTTTCTTAAAGGCACACTAATAGGGACACTTACCCTATACCTATTGCGCTTTTAAACTGTCGAAACAATATAACTTTTTGTTAATGAGATGAAGATCTTGGCAACCTTCTGAAAATAATTTGTAGTAAAATGTATAGATATAATTATTATATCATATAATATAGCATTTAATTATTATTTTGTGATAATATGAACGCATTCAATTTGCACAGTTACACAGCACGTTCTTTCTTGAAATATTTATTTTTTAATTTTATTTTGTACCATTAGTGATTTTGCTTATAATTCATCCTTTTAACTTAAAAGGATAAAAATTTCTATATTTTTACATAAAACAAATTGAAATAAATGCTCTATTTCTTGACAATTTAATTTTTCATGTTAACAATATATAAATTTATCACAAATATGCATTTATAAAAATTAATTTTATCTAAATTTTTAAACATTATTTATTATCATGAAGTAAGAGGGGAGGAGACTCAACTCCGCTAAGAAAAGTGTACCAGTTTCATGCGCCGAATTGAGAGGAAGTTTGCTGAAAAGAATAACCTACTAAATTGGACGCCATTTGCAATATTATAATCTTATCTTACTTTACCTATTGTTTATACGCTTTATATGAATTTTTGTCTGATGTCTCCCGGTGTTTTATATCTTTGTGCGTGTGAATACATACAACGAACTGCAATCTCGTTGTATGTATTCACACGCACAAAGATATAAAACACCGGGAGACATCAGACAAAAATTCATATAAAGCGTATAAACATCAGTAATATCATGTTGGATTCGTGGATGTACGAACGTGGGAGAAAGGAAGAAAAAAAGATGCTTCGGAAGAGAAGTAGCCTTTTTAAACTTTGCACAGTAAGTACAGCAGTATTTTTTTTTATTGTAGAGATACATACTGTCAATGTATGTAATGCTGTTGTATTTTGTTTTCTTTCGCAGTGCATCTCTACAATCTCGTTGTATGTATTCACACACACGAAGATATAAAACGAGAGACATCAGCAATAGATAAAGTGAGATAAGATTAATATTGCAAATGGCGTCCAACTTACAATTAGTAGGTTATTCTTTTCAGCGGACTTCCTCTTAATTCAGCGCACAAAACGGTCCTACTTTTTCAGCTTACGCGCTATCAAGTTGAGTCTCCTCTACTCTTACTTCGTGTTTATTGCACTCACATATCAGTGTTTTTTTGATTGTTTAAATTTTTTTAATTGAGTTAGTTTATTTAATTTATTAAATATACATTACTTATCATATATTCATTTATATAACCCGATAAATAAACTTAGAAAAAGAACTGGAAGAAGAACTGGTAGCAGGAATAACATATTCTGTTACGACATTAATCATAAAAATTTATTAAGCAATAATAATTAGACAACACAGAAAGTTCGTAACTATCACGTAATCGTCGCATCATAAATATTTAACTTGAAGGATGACTGAGGAAAATATCATCTTATTTAAGTTCTTACATAATCGTATACTGCTGGACATAATGGACATAAAAGCAAACAAGAATCGCGAAGGATTTGCATGGATTTAAAATTATTAGACTAATTTAAATTGAATGTGTATTGCAAGGAAAGGTTTAATGGCTAAGAAATGAGCAAAAAAAGCTTTATAAATAAATAAATAAAATATCATTTAATGTCATAAAACGTTTTGTACTTCACAGTCTTCATCAGTTTATAAACGTGTGTTTATTTACATACTTATGTGTGTGAACATCACTGCGAGAAAGATTTTGTTGATATTTAAAAAAAATATTGTGAATTCAATTAAATGTGACATGCTTAGCATGAATGATGTTAACGTAATATGGACAATAAATGCAGGAAGTACATTTCCTTACAATATGGTGGTTTAGCATTGATATAAGCAGAATTGTGTTTCTTAATTTTATTTTGAAAATAATATTTAATCTGAAAATTTGATTACATATTTTATTTTATTAATTGTACGGAAACACATGCTGAATGAATTATTATTATAACAAAAGAATACAAATTACTATCAGCTTTTATCACATCATTAAAGATATTTTATTAATGTTCAACTGTCTCTTATGTGTTGTAAGAAGCAGTCGAGATAGTACAGTGATACGAAATTTGCGCAACCATTACAGAAACTTAACTGCCAGTTCAATTCACAAGAATTTAGAATACTTGAATAACATCGGCGATTATGTAATCGGCGAAACAGTTCAAATCGATTGGCTACGTCATCGTGATTTCATCGTCAAAAGTATTCATTTAGCGAAGAAGTGAGTATGTCGTTTTCCGAGAAAAGCGCGGATATAAATCACAACGAGAATGTAGGCCCAATAATTTTCCCCTTTCGTGAACCCGTAGTTTCGCAACGTGATGCACGCTTGATTGAATGCCAATTAAAGCACGATACAATGCAATGTTGCGTGCGCGATAAGAGTTGCATCTTAATTTCGTGAGCCCCGTGTTCGAGGCCAAGAAAATTAACTCGTTCAGTGAAAAGATCGTGAGTTTTGAAAGGCGTGATGAATATCGTTTCCTTCATTCTCGTGTTCCGCTATAAAATGTTTGTTTAATTCGCGTATCTAGGATAAACGGAATGATGATGAAAGCTACTGACAACAGTCGAGCTATATAATTCGCGAATCTTTTTCGCAAAAATTTAAAAATATATAAGTATGCACTGCACATGCGCGATGCTTGCTTTTTTTAATATACATATGTGTATATATTTTTTGAGATATATAAAAATATATGTTTTAATTTCGAATGTTACAATATAAATTAGAAATTAAGAACTATGACGCAACGATTTATAAATATAGATTTATAATATTATATTTTAAGAAACATTTACGATGTATGCTTTACAAATTTTTAAATAAATTTTGCATCTGTAATGAAAAATTGTATATTTGATACAATGACAAAATATATCTTAAATAATTAGAATTAATCATAATAATTAATTAAGTCAGAAACTGTATTACATTTAATTTTAAATTAATAGGGTTTTTTCCGTAAATTTTGACGAATTAAACGTTGCAAAAGTTCTAAGTACAGTTAGTATAGTCATCTTCATATTCATTGAAATTTTGCGGCATATACGATGAGAATTCATTTTGTTCATTCACTCTCAGTTTTTACTTTTGTAACGGGTAATTTAGGTGAAAGGTAATCAATTTTCTCCTTTCGGATTTTGTCCGATCAATATGTTTTGATAATTACATAAACAATTTTTACAATTCCGATTAATGATGCAATTAATGCGAAATATTTGGTTTTGGCATAGTCAGAACAAGTTAAATTGAGAAAGGCATTTGAAAGTCGCGTGAGGAAAAAGGACGAAACATTCAACGAGTACTTACATGATAAAATGATTATGGGTAATCGAATTCCGGTTGAGAAAAAACTGCTCGATTACGTTATCGATTCCTGATGAAGCTTTATGCAATGGCGTATTTAAGGCGTATTTTTTGATTTGAGACGATAGCGTTTTATAACAAGCTTTCGAAAAAATAACTATACGTGATCAAAATGTGTGTCGTAAATGAAGAAGAGTTAAAAAGTATTCGCGCAAACAATGATTCGAATAATAAGACAGTAACCGGTAAAAAGAGATGAACAAGAAGCATTTCTTTAATTGTGAACAACATGATTATTTAATAATAAATACCCGTCGAAGGAGTGTGGATTGAAATGTTTCGAGTGTTAAGGCATTTGTGTCCCCGTCTGTACGAGTGTCAAAGAAGTGATATTAGATGGTTCTAAAATTTAAGTATTGATCGATTTGGTAAGTAATTTAATTCTAATGCCTGCAGATGAATATGTGAAGCGGGGCCGGGATTGCCACGATTTAAACCATGTGAAACGATGTTTTGTGATAATCTAAAAAAGTGACAACACTTGGTAAAGAGTGACTTCCGAAAAAGTGATATTTTCGCCCGTTTTTTTGGGCCCTAGATTTTGGGATTGGACTGTGTGCCAAATGGTCATATTATATTAATCACAAAGAAGTT